GGGGGGGGGGGGCGGATGTCGGGCGCAGTTCTCCTCTCCCCGCCACCTTCCGCTCCTCTCCGCCCAGCGGGTGATGCTGCTGCACCCTCAAGTTGCTCCTTCCTCCCCTTTCTCCCTCCTTTTTATTTCCCCTACTTTCTTTCCTCCCTCCCTCCCTCCCTTCTTCCCTTCCTTCCCTCCCCTGAAAGCTCTCCATCCGCTGCGGGCGCTGCCACTGACGCACATTGAATTTGCCCCCGGAGCTCGCCCGCATCTCCGAGGTCAGACACCAGGCCGAGCACCTTCCACGGGCGGCGTGTAACTGCGCCAACAAAGTTGTACGCGGCGCCGAAACCTGCCCTCGCTCCCAGGGCGCCCCCCCGTTCGAATCCTGCGCCAAGCTCCCGGGCTCACCCGGTGCAGCCTCGACCTCACCGCACCCCCGGGCAACACACCCCCTTCCCGGGCGAGCCCACCCTCCCGGCGCCCCGCGCCCCCGGCGGTCCGGCCGCCCGCCCGGCCGCCGCGCTCACCTTGCTTGACACACTTGAGCCGCAGGGGGTCCTTGCAGTGTTTGATGACGGCCAGCACGTCCCTGATGGTGAGCCCCGCCACCGGGGTCTCGTTCACCTCCAGCAGGAGCTCCTCCGACACCAACTTGCTGCCGCTCTCATAGGCCACCTTGCCGGGCTTCACCTCCCCCAGGTAGGGGAACTGGCCGTTCTCCGCACCCCCCTTCAGCTCAAAGCCCAGCTGGCCCTCCGGGTTCCTGCCAATGACACTCTCGTGGACTTTGCTGGTCCAGTGGCTTTTCTTTTTCAAGCTTTTGGACATGGCAGTGGGGCGAGTCGCCTCGGCTCCTGAGGGGTTCCTCCGGGGCAGGGGTGTGGGCGGTGAGAGGATGAGGATGGAGGAGCCAGGGGGGCCCAGAGGTGAGAAGAGCGGACTTTGCTTTCCTTCCACCTCTGTTCGGCGCTTTCCCTCTTCTTGGGATGGAGTGTGGACGCGGACGGGGAGGGAGGAGCGGGGCGGCTGGGCAGAGGTAGGAGAGCTGGGGTGAGGAGGTGCTGTCCCTGGAATGACACTCAAGGCTGTGGCCCCGCAGCGGAGAGCAGTGGGGGCGGCGGCGGCC